TTCACGGGGTACCGGTAGCGCAATGTCACACTCGTGTTTACGTGCGCACAGTCGCATTTCAGTGTGCTGAGTCATTATTCTCTGTCTGGGTACTTCTCGGCATGATTAATCAAAATACTCAATCTTAGGTACCTCTTGGCATAGCAAAATTGACGCACTCAGTTTGAGTGCCTCTCGGCACGGCAAAAATCGATATACTCAATCTAGGTGCCCCTTGGCACAACAAAATCAATGTACTCAATCTGAGTGCCCCTTGGCACAACAAAATTGACGCACTCAGTTTGAGTGTCTCTCGGCACAGCAAAAATCGATATACTCAGTCTAGGTGCCCCTTGGCACAGCAAAATCAATGTACTCAATCTGAGTGCCCCTTGGCACACCGCACATAGGTATACGGCGGTCCTCGGCTTCTCTGGCACAGCGAGCTCAGACAATTAGCACCTCTTTGGCTCTCTAGCGGGGTGCGCTCAGGCATTCAGTACCCCTTTAGCTCTCTGGCGCGGTGTGCCTAGGTATACAGCAATACTGATGCAGTAACGATGCACACCGAAGATTGCAAGGGTGCGAAAATAAAATAAAATGAAAGAAAAATTAAAACGGGGGTCTATCCATAAGTGACCAGCCTGACTACGGGGGATGACAAAAACGAGCAAAGAGAGGGAGGAAGAAGAGAGGGAGGGAAAGGAGTAGAGAGAGATATAGGAGGAGAGGCAAAGGAAAAGGGCTATGACCCTAGTGAGAACCAGGACCACCTTACTCCCCCTTGCTGCTCTACCTCTTTACCTCTCTCTTGCTTCCCTAGGTCCTTCTCTTTCTCTTACTGGCTCCAGCGCTGCAGTCCGCCGTTCCACCAGCACTTCCGCATTCCCGCAAGTGAGGGCCTCTTGTCCCTTTCTCAAGTGGCTCGGCCTCTCTTTTATAGTGAAGAGGCCGGGTGATCGGGCAAGGTGCAGCAGTCCTTGGGCTAAAAATAGCACAGGCCTGCGCTAAAATTAGCGCGGGACAGGGACAGTCCCGACTTTGGGACACGAACAGTCAGTCCCGTGTTAAAAATAGCACGGGCCTGCGCTAAATATAGCGCGGGCCTGTGCTAAGATTAACGCAGGACTGCGCTAAAATTAGCACGGGATTGGGACAGTCCCGACTTCGGAACACGAACAGTCAATCCCGTGTTAAAAATAGTACGGGCCTGTGCTAAATATAGCGCAGGCTTGTGCTAAAATTAGCACGGGACTGCGCTAAAAATAACGCGAGACTTGGCTAAAAATAGCGCACGACTTGGGAGAGCCCCGACCTTGGGATACGGACAGTCAACCCCATGCTAAAAATAGTGTGGGCCTGCGCTATATTTAGCTTGAGTCTATGCTAAAAAAACTCAGGCCTGTGCCAAAAATAGCGAGGCCAACGCTAAAAACAGCACGGACCAATGCTAAAATTAGCATCGGGCTTGGGCCGGCCCGACTTTGGAATACTGAGGGTCGGCCTTGTTTTAGAAATAAAACACCCCCCTTATTCTCAATAAGGGGCCCAATCCCGTATTCCCCATTGACCATTTCGGGCCGTACTCTCCCTGACGCGGTAAGTCCGGTCCCAAGTGGTCAATTCTATTTTTCTCACTAGCCCTTGGTCCGTTTTTAGTACCGTTCGGACCGGGCCCTACTAATCTGGCCCTTGCAGACGCGGCGGTTCAGCCCAAAAGCCATGATTCGATCTCCATGGGGCTGGACGGTCGCGCCGTCTTGTCCGCTGACTCGACCCAAGGCCCAAACCAACGTGTCAACATTCTGCTGATCGTGACCATATGTAGTTTTATGGCATGGAGGCTGGCCGCGACGAGTCAACTATACGTTGACGAGGCGCGCCGCTGTTTGACAACGCCATGATTGGGCTTCAAGTTCATTTTTATATATGAAGTCACGTTCGGGATACGGACTGTTGTGTCGTCGTCTCTTCTATTCTCCCTCCTTCTGTGTCTGTTTTTGCCATCACACTGGTGTTGTATATTGCGTAGTCACTCTCACTGATAATAGGACTTTTCACTGTTTTCAGTGAGTCAGACATGACATGATCTGTTTGCAGTTGGGGCTGGTTCAGGCTGGCTTTGCAATAATTGCTTTGCATAGATTGTTGGAGTGCCTTGAGGATTTAATGAACACTTCAGCTTGGGCTTCATGTAGATTTTGGGGGAGTTTGGGACTCATATGAAAGAGGATGGGACAGTGGATGTACAGGGTTGAATTGTGAGGAACCCGTTTTCCGGCAGCATTAAACGTGGAACTGGGTAATGGCCCCAGATGTAAGGGGTTGAATTGTGAGGATCCCGACCTCAATTCATTTCTCTGGAATACAAAGAGAAAGAAAAGAAAAAGAAAAAAAGGCGCAAACTCAAATAAAATTAAACGCATATTCACACTAGAAGTTTCGCAATGAAAAGAAAAAAAAAAAAAAAAAAAAAAGACGTTTCTCAGTACTCCGAAAAAATACGGCGGCGCACTTAGTGCCAACGGACTGTGATAGTCCTCTGGATACCCCTGATCGGTATTAGCGGGTTCTATGACCAACACGGGTGTGAGTGTGAGCGCGAGTGGGTTGTGTGTGGTGTGTGGGAGAGTGTTGGCCATAGCCTCTGTTGCTACTCGATAAAGGGTGGGGGACGATGAGAAAGGGAGGCACAGCTACTGGCAGGTTCCGGTCTTTGTGTTAGCCAGACCCCCACTGGCGGCCCCAACCCTATACCCTAACCATTTCGGGCAAGGGGCAACATGAAATCCCCCCTTCACAAAGAGAGGAAAACTATGCGTGCAGGGGTCCCCTCTAGATAGTCTTAGGAGTAGGTAGTGGAAGGTAAAAACAGAAGTTGAGAGAAGAATATAGACAGTTGTGATCACCCCAATATATATAAAAAAAAAAAAAAAAAGTTAAAAAATTTGGGGTAAACTATGCGGCAATCACAAAATAGAGTTATAATTGCACTATGGGGCAAGATACAATTGGCAATTGCAGTTTGGGCACCCAACACCTGGCCAGAAAGCTGGGTTGTATACATTGCCCCAACTGCAATTGCAAACTGTATCTTGGCCCATAGTGCAATTATAACTCTTTTTTGTGACTCCTGCGTAGTTTCCCAAAAAACAGGAAAAAAGAAAATAAATTCAACCTCTCTGCGGATGTAATTGTGGTCAGACTCATCCAAGACAGGCTGTTAAAACGACATCGATTAGGAAAGGATGTCGTGGTGTTAGCTCTACTGTCAAACAGACCTTTTTTTTTTTTTTTTTTTGAGGAAAGGATGTCTTGGTGTGAGCTATAATGTCAAATAGAACTTTTTGTTTTTTGTTTTAATAAAAGCAGGAGCCATGGTAATTAGGGGCTGATCCGACTGCTACTACGGAGCGTAGTCTACTGGGTTTCGCGGGATCCGACTTGCAGGTCTCCCCGTCGAGTTCGGCAGATGGTGAAAACAAACGTGTACGTGGCAGGTGTTCCGCGACCCTCGACGAAAAAGAACTTGCCAAAATCAGAAGGCTAAGCACTTCTCTGGGATCATGAAGACCCACACTGCTGATTCATCCAGGGCCCTGGACCCTCCTGAAGTTGTTTGGGTTCATGAGCTGGTTGTGTGACCCACATCAAGCATGAGATAGCCGGAGATAAGCGGCGGTTAACACAGCGGAATAAACTCGGTCGTAAAATTGAAGATGAAAGGACTCAGATTGGACCGATTGGTTGTTCATCTTTTGCTTTTTCTTTTTTTGAGAAAATTTGTCTAGCGTCCCTGTAATTTCCACTATTTTGCGTCGCGGCCCTCTGACCACAAATCAAATTTCCCATAAAACCCCTGTGTTGGCTCAGCCTGAAATATTTTCGTTACGCTCCCTACTGGTACCAGTTCCAAATTTGCAGGATGCCAGTACTGGATAGCCGTTGAGTACCAGCACAAACGTTCTCCATATGCCCCTACCTGTACAGTGCATTTTCTCAGCGCTCCTCTATGGAGAAAAGGTTAACAACACGTATAATTTTCATCATACATACATTATATATGCAACCTAGACCCAGTTCTTTTTCATTGCTCATGTTTTCGTCACTCTTATTCTCAATTTTCAGGACACATTTGAAAAGTTACGGATTTCTCATTGCCCATGTTGTTGTCATCATAGTTGTTGGTTGCTTGCCCAAATAGATAGTCATAAGGGTTGTTTTCATGGTGTTCGGGGTGTTCATCACTTCGAGATGCTTCATGATTTTTGGATCGTTTGAACAGATGGCCATAAGGGCTGCTTTCATGGCCTTCGGAACGTTCACCACTTCGGAATGCTTCATGATTTTCGGGTCGCTTGAACAGATGGTCATAAAGTTTGCTTTCATTGTCTTCAGGACGTTCATCACTTGAGGATGCTTCATGATTTTCAGAAAGCTTGAACAGATGGCCATAAGGGTTGCTTTCATGGTCTTCAGGATGTTCATCACTTCGGGAGGCTTCATGATTTTCGGGTAGCTTGAAAAGATGGCCATAAGGGTTGATTTCAGAATCTTCGGGATGTTCATCACTTCGGGATGTTTCATTGTTTTCAGGCAGCGTGAACAGATTGTCGTAAAGGTTGTTTTCATGGTTTTCTGGGCGTTCATCACTTCGGGAGGCTTCATGATTTTCGGGTGGCTTGAAGAAATGCCCATAAGAGTTGTTTCGGGACGTTCATCACTTCGAGGTGCTTCATGATTTTCAGGTAGTGTTACGGACTTCGCCAGGGCTCGATCCCTGGTCTATCTTTTGTTGTTTCGGCTGCATCCCGTTTTCGGCCTGGCACCCTTTTTTCAAACCCCTCCTTTGGTACCGTAGGATTTTGGACAACTAGCGCCATGCTGCAATTCGGGCGCCACTTTCAAATACTGCATTTTTTAGTTCTGCCCTCGGGACCTTTGCAAAAATGCCCCTAGTACCGTACGTGTCACCGGTACTTATACCGGCTCCCCATACGGTACGGGGACCAGTCTCGTACCAGTTCTCTGCTGCTGTACTCGTACTCAGTGTGACTTGCTGTTTTCGGCATTCGGGAATCCAAGACTTCGACTTTGTGCCTTGCCACTGTGTCTGCGTCCGATCCTCAGTCCGAGTCCGTCGTGTCGAGTGAGTGAGTGTGTGTGTGTGCTCTCCCTCTCTCCCTCTCTCTCCTCTCCCTCGGCTCACCCTCAGCCTCAGGCTCGTTACACTGGTATCGGAGCGGTTCGAACCCACCTGACCCACCCTGCTTCGACGTCGTCACCTGACCATCATCAACATCATCGTCGAGATCGTCGCCGCTGTACCACGTCATCATCGTCATCATCGTGATCGTCATCATTGTGTCCCGTCATCATCATCACGGACGGGATCGCCGCCGTCGGGCCACTTCATCACCACCATGCCTGTCGTCCTCGTCGCTGCGCCGGGCCGTCCTTGTCATCGTCGTCGCGCAGATAAGTAATCAACGACAATTTTTTTATTATTATATTTTTTTTCTTCTTCTTATCTTTCTTCCTCGTTTCTTTTCTTCTTCTTCTTCTTCTTCTCCTCCTCCCCCGATATCCCGACCTGTCCTCCCCTTCCGCGCATCCTAGCACGATCCCCCCCCGACTACGATCCCCCCCC